TGCTGATGATGTGAGGGATGCTGATGATGGAGGGATGCTGATGATGGGAGGGATGAATGGGGTGGGCATATGAGACATTGCTATATCTCCTGCCTAGTGTTGCTCTAATCCTTACAGATGGTTGCAAGCCACCATATGGTTGTTGGGAATTGAACTCAGAACCTCAGTCAGTGCTTTTAACTGCTGAGCCATTTCTCCAGCCCACTTTAATTCTTTAAATAAAAAAAAAGGCAACTCAAAAGTCCTTCATTGGGAGATGGGGCAAGAGAATACACACCCATGTTCCTAGCATCATTACTCAAAATAGTTGTAAGGCAGAAGCCAGCCCAAGTGGCCATTTTAGGATTGAAGGTGTAAACAAATACACACGCACATCAATATCAGAATCTTCTTGGAAGAAACTAGATATCTCAGAAAGAAATTCTGAAACATGTCACAACATAGAGGAATCTTGCAGGACAATTGAAAATGACACATACTGTATGATTCTGTAAATATGAAGCACTCAGAGTTGTCAGATTCACAGAGACAAGAGACTGAAAGTCAGTTTCCGTTTGATGGGGCTCTCTGGGTGCCTGACAGTGATGGCTGGAAAATGGACTTCTCTCTGTGGATTTTTGTCTCATGTAGCTTGAGCTGACCTTGAACTCTCTAAGTAGCTGAGGATGATCTTGAACTTGCCATCCCTCAGTCAAGCATAGACATTCCATGCATGTACCACCATTCTATGCTTGTTTGCTTTGGGCCAGAGTCTTGCTGTATAGCCTAAGCTGACCTAATCCCCCTGCTTAAACCTTCTTAGTGTTATTACAGCCTTGTGCCACCATACCTGGTTTAACGCGATTATGTTATTTGTTTCTGGAGATCGGATCTTGCAAAGTGGCCCTCGCTGTACTGTACAGATCGGCCTCAAATTCACAGCTGTCCTGCTGCCTTAGACTCTTTAGTATTGGTCTTACAAGCATGCAATCCTATGTGGGACTTAATAACACTGAACTATACTTTTTTTATTTTAATGAGACAGGGTTTCTCTGTGTAGCCCGGCTGGCATCGAACTCACAGAGATCCACCTGCCTCTGCCTCCAGAGTGCTGTAATTGAAGGAACACATTATCACTGACTGGCGGGACTATACATTTTAAAATGGTCAAGGTGGTAAATCTTATATTAGAGCTCACGTAATTTAAAAAAAAATACAAGGGGGGGGGCACTGGCAATACAGCTCAGGGATGGAGCATTTGTCTAGCCTGAGCCTGCAGCACTGTAAAAAAAAAAAAAAGAAAGAAAGAAATGGGACACTGTGTTTATTGAATAAAAATGAAATTAGTTACAAAATGTCCTTCATTATCCAGCATCAGAAGCTTAACAAGAGAAATAAATCTGTTAAAGCCAGAAACCCAAGGGCTAGATACGGCTCAGGGGTCAAAACACACACTGCACACGCAAGGATTGCAGTTCAGGTCCCAGGACTCAAGTCAGGCAGATACAGTCACATCTCTTGTATGTAGCTCTAGCACCAGGGGATCCAGAGACTTCTTCTAGCTTCTGTGGGCTCTGCACTCATGTACACATACCCACACTTAGACATACATGTGTATAATTAAAAATAATAACAGTAAATCTTTTTTAAAAACATCCCTCAGTTGTAGTGCAACTGTGTAACATGCACAAGGCCCTACATTTAATTCTCAAAGCCATAAATATACAAACCTGTCATATTTTTGGATCCAAGATTCTTCTATATTTTTAAATCTATCCTGATCAAATTCCATTTCCCACTGCAAGGCATTTATTTCCTATAGAAAGAGAAATATTACCTTCCAATTTTAAAAAGGGGGGGCATTTCATGGAAAGTTATCAGTAAAAATCATTTAGTGACACTAAAGGGTAAAGCAAATCATACAACAGTAAAAAGAGTAAAATGTCGCTCTGAAGGGTCTATGGCATTTGTACACTGAATGGACTTTAACACTCAGAGACACTTTGCCAAAGTTCACTGAACACGGAAAAAAAATGTTTAAACTGTTCCGGTTCAAAATTAGCTGTACTGCTGGATGGTGGTGGCGCACACCTTTAATCCCAGTGCTCAGGAGGCAGAGGCAGGTAGCTCTTGAGTTCAAGGTCAGCCTGGTCTACAGAGTAAGTTCCAGTACAGTCAGGGCTACACGGAGAAACCCTGTCCCCAAAACAAATCACAAACCAAAAAGGGGGCTGGAGAGATGGCTCAGCAGTTAAGATCAGTGACTGGGGGCTGGAGAGATGGCTCAGCGGTTAAGAGCACTGACTGCTCTTCCAGAGGTCCTGAGTTCAAATCCCAGCAACCACATGGTGGCTCACAACCATCCGTAATGAGATTGGATGCCCTCTTCTGGTGTGTCTGAAGACAGCTACAGTGTACTCATAAATAAAATAAATAAATAAATCTTTAAAAAGATCAGTGACTGGTTTTCTAGAGGTCCTAAGTTCAATTCTCAGCACCCACATGGTGGCTCACAACCATCTATAATTGTATCTCCCAGGAGATACAATGTGCTCTTCTGGTGTGCAGTTGTACATGCAGACGAAATAGCCACATACATAAAATACATAAATAAAAAAAAATCTTTAAAAACAAATCATTGTACTGAGTTCAGATTTCTTAGTGCACATGTCTGCCCATATAGAGACCAGAAACTAAATTTACACTTGTGAGTCTTTGCCCAAATGGCTCCATCAAGGGACAATAAAATTGACATAAGAAAGAGACATTGGAGCTGGAAAGATGGCTCAGCAGTTAAGAGCACCGGCTTCTCTTCCAGAGGTCCTGAGTTCAATTCCTAGCAACCACATAATGGCTCACAACCATTTGTAATGAGATCTAACGCCCTCTTCTGGCATGCAGGCAAAACACAGTACACATAATAAATAAGAAATAAACTAATTAATTTTAAAAAAAGAAAAGAAAGAAAGAAGAGAAAAAAGAAAAAGGGATTTACAATGATCCTAATTTCATATACAATGAGACATTCAGAAACACACTGACCCTGCCTGAGGCAGAGGAAGAAAAAGAGAAAGTAAGAAGTGCCAAGTTTGTAGACCTTCTGCTACCAGAAAAGGGAAATAAAGAAACCATAATTTACCCCTGTGATAATCTGTTTTAAAATGTAAGTGTCCAAAGGGAAAAACATCAAAGACTCAAGTACTCCTTACCCAAAGCACCGTGAACAACACACCCATTTCAGTGGTGAGCCTAAGGAAGTTATGGTTAAATATTATCAGAATGATTACGTCAATGCTAACAGTTGCAAATACCTTCTCCAGAGATCTCTTTTGTTCTATAGTTTTTTGAAGCATTGTCTGTGTGTGGCTTGTGGCTTTGCCAAGCATTGCCTATGAAAAAATAAAAACAGTATCAATAAAATTAAGGGGTTTGTTTGTTGTTGCTGTTTGTCTGTTTTGAGACAGAGTTTATATGTGCCTCAAACTCAAGAAATCTGCCTACCTTCCCCCCAAACACTGAGACTAAAGGCGTGTGCCACCACCACCCAGCTAAAATTAAGTTTTAAACATTCTTACTTGCACATGGTAATATCTATGCACATGTACCCAAATGCACATTTTATTTTTTAAAGGTTTATTTTCAGTATGTGTACTTCTGTGTGTCTGTGTGCATGTGTGTGTAGACATATGAGGAAGACAGAAGGGGATGTCAGATATCCTGAAGCAGGAGTTCCAGGTACGTGTGAGATGCCTGACATGGGTGCTGGGAACCAAACTTGGGCCCTATGCAAAAGCAGTGTGTGTTGCTAACTGCAGAGCCATCTCTCCAGCCTCACACTTAATTTAAGATAACACATTATTAGCAAAATGAGAAGTCACATAAACATTTGTGTGTGTGTGTGTGTGTGTGTGTGTGTGTGAAGACTAATAGTTTAAAATTCAGAAGCTTTCCCTCCCGTATGTTGTTGACTTAATGACTTTTCTTAGCAGGCAAATATACATAGCAGCAGCAGTATTATTCTTCATAGTCAAAAGAATAATTGAGATATACATCAGCTGGTGGGTGAAGGATAAATAAAAACATATGTGGCTATATAATAGACTAGTCGCAATAAAAAGAAGAAAGTATTGCTAGCTGTGGTGGTGGCGCACGCCTTTAATCTCAGGACTCGGGAGGCAGAGGCCGGTGGATCTCTTAAGTTCAAGGTCAGCCTGGTCTACAGAGTGAGTACCAGGACTACAAAGGAAAACCTTGTCGTATGGATAGGTACCATGAGTCAGGGAGTGCAGTCAGAAGTAACTGCTAACATTTGCAATAATCATTCTGCAAGTATGGAAGTGCTTTAAAATTAGATTCAGATGTTAGTAAAAATAAACTGTAAGGACTGGAGAGATGGTCAGAGGTTAAGAGCACTGGCTGTTCTTCCAGAGGTTCTGAATTCAATTCCCAGCAACTACATGGTGGCTCACAACCATCTATAATGAGATATGTAATAACATCTATAGTAATCTTCTGGCCTGCAGGCATACATGCAGCCAGAGTGCTGTATACAAAATAAATAAATAAATAAATAAATAAATAAATCTTTTTTTTTTTTGAGACAGGGTTTCTCTGTGTAGCCATGGCTGTCCTGCAACTCACTTTGTAGACCAGGCTGGCCTCCAACTCAGAACTCCACCTGCCTCTGCCTCCCAAGTGCTGGGATTAAAGACATGCGCCACCACTGCCCGGCCCAATAAATAAATCTTTTAAAAAATTAACTGTATATTTAAATATCAGGGCTGGGTGGTGGTAGTGCATACCTTTAATCTCAGCTCAGGATGCAGATGCAAGCAAAACAAACAAATCAACCAAAAAGATCAGGAAATTATGCTATTAAAATATCTGTATCTCAAAAACCCAGCAATATTAAGCACTGATATTTCTATTTTACAAGGTAGAAACATAACTAATTACTGTTGGTTGCTGGTTTTGGAGTGTGTTGGGGTGTGTGTGTGTGTGTGTATGTGCGTGTGTGTGTGTTTCCAAAACAGTATCTCAGGAAGTAGCCTGGTCTTGAACTCTCGGTTCTCCTGCCACTGTCTCCTGAGTGCAGAGATTACAATGGCACTTATTATTAGAATATGCTAAGTGATGAATTTTCAGAAATAAATTCTTACCATGCTTTGAAGAATTTTCAACGCTTCCTCTTTACCTTCAAGTTGTCTTTGAGATGCTTCAAGTTCTGTTTTTAAAATCTCTACTTCCTGAGGACAGAGATATGGTAAGCCTCAATGTTTGCAAGGCATGTAGCCAACTGACCAGCTGGCTAGTCTACATTCACCCTTAAGCAAGGTGAGCTCCTACAGTTCTGGAGTGGATCAGAACTCACCACCAAGCTCCAGCTGGAACAAAAGCCTGCCTCTTGCTTCTACCCTCGTAGGCACCTGCCTAGTGAATACGTCAAACTTCTTACATAGTCAGGGATGGTCTTGAACAGCTGTCGACCTGCCCCCACCTCCCAAGTGCTGGGATAACAGATGTGCTCCGCCGCACACATATAGAAAGAAAAGTCTTTAGACCACATAAAGTAAGCACATGGCCATTTATACAACTGTAGTGACTACTATGGTTTAAATTTTGACACCTGCCTCCTGCTATGTTCAGCATGGTTGAGGTCTGCCTCTACCCCCAAACAGCTGTAGTCATTTTGTTCCGTGCCGGCCAGCTATTTCATATTGTTGCTCTAATATCCCTGCCAGTCACTGACACAAAATAATAACTTGACTCAGAGCAGGGTCATGCTGATCACATATCCCCTTATGTTCTGTATGAGGTTTGTTAATCTTAAATTCCACAAAGCTTTACGTAGGACCCATCAAGTTGAAGGTCAATATGAACTGCTGTATTTAAAATGGCGTGAGTCAGAGCCGACCACCAGGCAGCCCTTCCTGCACCTGCATATGAGCTCAGTGTGAGTTTGTGGGTTTTTCCTTGATAAGATGATGGAGAAAGATGTTTGTGGCCATGGCTCAGCCCCAGAATTCTGAGCTACAGTTCTGATCCCTCACTATCAGGTTGTGTGTTCAATAAATCCTTCCCTGTCTAACTGAGATCGGTGTTTGTGTGATTTGTGGGGTGACTCTTGGACCCCCAACAAGTATCATGAACTTATCTGAAAAGGGAGGCTTAACAGATAAGTTAAAAAAACAAACCAAATCAAACCAAAAACACTTCCACCTTTAGACAACAGATTAGCAGAGTCTATCTAAGCCAGGACCACTTCTTAAAAGCCTTCCAAGGTGAAGCGGCTGAAGAACACCACTTGCATTGTGGGAATGCAGCACTTACAGAAATACACGCCTAAGTGATGCTTGCCATGTGTTTACCTACTGTGACATTTAGTTTAAGGATATAATCCAGTTGCAATTATGTTGTATTGGATTAAGGTGGGCATCAATCCAAAGGCAAGTTCGCCTGTGAAATAAGAGGCACCTTGGGTGCAGTCCTAGAAGGGATATAGAGGGTGGGGGCGGCAGAGAGCCAAGACAGGACAGGGGACAAGGCCATGCATGAGAGGCAGAGACTAGATACTTCAGCCTAGGAACGCCATGGCCTGCAGCAGCCTTCAAACGCAGCGCAGCATTCGAAAACCTTGATTTCAGACTTCTTCCCTCCAAGGCTAAGAGACAGCAGGTTCTGTTCGTGCCTCCAGCCGTGGTATTTGCCTCTGTAGTCCCCGTTATCTAACCTTAGGAAGCAGGGTTCCTGTTTCCTAGAAAGGTGGCAAGCTACTCAAAGCTGCCACACCCATAGGGGCGGGGCTCAGGCGGGGCTCCTTGGACCACCTGGGTTACCGACCCTCAAGCTGTCAATCAAAGCTTGATCCTGCAGTTTCTTCCCCCTCCATACAGAGCTGATGAGAAGCTCTGCTGGGACCTTGTAGCCTCCCCTCTGCCCATCCATATTTCAGGGTAAGTCTAGATCCTACTGAACACCTGCTTCAACGTCCCTTGGCATGTAGGCTAGTCCAGACTAGGTCACATGGTGTAGAGCATCCCCAACCCCCTGAAAACTTACGACTTGGAAACTCCCTTTGTTATCTGGAATTGAAGGCTCTCTCTCTTCAAGACATATCATCAACATGGCCTCTCTTTTCTAATTTCTAATAATTCTCTGGTCTTCTGACTTCAAGGACATTACATTAAGAGAGATTTTTCAAGCCCCACATAGAGGAAAGGCATCTATAAGGAAACAATACTAGCCGGGCAGTGGTGGCGCACGCCTTTAATCCCAGCACTGGGGAGGCAGAGGCAGGTGGATTTCTGAGTTCGAGGCCAGCCTGGTCTACAGAGTGAGTTCCAGGACAGCCAGGGCTATACAGAGAAACCCTGTCTCGAAAAACAAACAAAACAGACAAACAAACAAACAAAAAACACAAAAAACCAACCAAACAAACCAAAAAAAAAAAAAAAAACAAACAAACAAGGAAGCAATACCAACTTTCCCAGAAGTTTAGATGGATAGATAGGGTTAGAGAAGCCGGACAGAGAAGTGGTGGGTAAGCCTGAAGGGTCAAGCATGCTGACATCAGAGGGCTTTTAAAGAGGGGCCAGCAAGATGGCTCAGCAGGGTAAGGAGCTCCAACTCTCACCACCTAAGTTCAATCCCTGGTACTCAGGATGGAACAAGAGAACTAACTCCAGCAAGTTTTCTCTGATATCCACATGTGTGCTGTGGCAATATATACACAAAGAAGAGAGAGACACAGAGAGAGAGTCAGAGAGAGAGAGAGAGAGAGAGAAACACACATATGCACAGAGAGAGACAAAGAGTCAGAGAAACAGAGAGAGAGAGAGAGAGAGAGAGAGAGAGAGAGAGAGAGAGAGAGAACACGTAAGAAACAGGAGGCCTGTTGTAAGGTAAGAACTCAAGAGATGAAGGGAAGGAGGGGTCTGTCAGAAGAGACAGGGACAGCAGTGCTTACTCAGTATCATGAGGACATACCTCTAAAGCTTCACGAAGACGTTGCCTTAATTGTTCATCTGACAATTCTGAATTAGAATCTATTGGAGAAAAAAATGAATACTTTCTTTAATTAAATACCAGTTATTTAGCTGGGCATGGTACCGTGCTCCTTAAATCCTGACACTTGGGAGGCACAGGCAGGTGGAAGTCTTTAGGTTTGAGGCCAGGTTGGTCTACATAGTACATTCCAGGACAGCCAAGGCTACATAGAGAGACCCTGTCTCCAATGTGCCCCACCCTGGCAAGATACAGAGCATTTAATTACAAAATACTAAATATTTCTTCCCTAAATTTCAAAATTAAAAAATTATTATAACATGATAAAAATATGAACCCTTAAATATCCAAAGATATGTGGTTTTGAGAAAAAAAAAACCCAGCTTCTAAAGAATCATGATATGAAACTTATGTTAAATATCGACTAATTACTATGCAGATGTGTAGGAAGGTAAGAATGTTCTAAGTCAAATGAGTGGGTTTTAGTAGTTAGCTTAAGCTTAAGGGCTGCGATAATAGTAACACTTAGGAACTAAACTTTAACTTCTTTCCAAGAACAATGACCAACTGAATGTCTCTGTCACCTTAAATGCACATTTTATTCATTATTATTTCCAGAACCTAGACCTGCACCTGGCACCTAGTGGACCCAATAACTGTTGACTGGGGTGGGGGTGGCGGTGGGGCGGGGCATAAAACTGCAAAACCAAAAAGGGAACCGTGGTAAGCAGCTACCAGACTCTCACGCATGTGGTATTAGAGCGGACGTAGCTACTGCGCCTCGTGCCTGCTGCAGTACTCAGAAATAAAACACCAGTTACTTTTGAACTCCACGAATTCTTTCAAGGGAATAAGACGTGGGCCAGTGAGGTGGCTCAGCAAGTAAAGGTGCCTGCCACCAAGTCCGACGACTTGAGTTCTAGCCCTGGGACCCACATGGCTGAGAGTAAGAACTGGCTCCTTTGAGTTGTAGCATGCCTTGGCCTGTGCTTGCATTGTGCCCTCAGTCCCACCCAATAAACAAATTTAATCTAAAAAAAAAAATCTTAAAGAGATAAAGATGAAATCTACTGCTGTTATTGATTTTCCTGTGCTTGGAGATTAAGAGCCCTGATTATATCCACAGGGGAGGGGAGAACAGAAAGCCCAGTGATCTTACCAGTGCTGCTCTGTCTTCTGTAGCCGGATGCTCTGCATCCGTGAGCGCATGTATCCTGTAAGCCCTTATTCCTGGAATACTGGAAAACGGCTTCGCTTCTTTCTTCCCCCTTTCTTGGAAACGGAGGTGGGCTTGGGATCTTTCCATCTGACCTTTTCTTAGATGTAGTCGAACACGGAAATTCATAAATACCACCGGGTTTTCTCCCGAGGCCATACCCTAGGTCACCTTCCGTCATGTCATCCTCTGTTTCCCAGATGTCCTCTGCCACGCTCGATGACCTCGACACTTTGCTCATTAGCCAAATGCTGTTTCTGTCATAAGGGAAAATAGTTAGGGAAAGCAATGGTTTAAAATCAGTCAGCAAAAAGAAGTTGGAGGAGGAGGAGAAAGAAGAAGAGAAGGAAGAGGAGGAGGAAGAGGGCTGAAAAGATGATTCAGTGGTTAAGAACACTGACTCCTCTTCCAGAGGTCCTGAGTTCAATTCCATGCAACCACATGGTGGCTCACAAGCATCTGTAATGGGATCGATGCCCTCTTCTGGCGTGTCTGAAGACAGCTACAGTGTATTCATATACATAAATAAATTAAAAGAAAAAAAAAGCAGTTCACAGATGCAGTAATGCTTCTTCTGGGTTTCCCCCCCAAAAGACATGAAAACATTTATGTCAAAGCGATGTCTACACCCACTGTCATGAGTGACTGCCATGCTCACTGTCACTAACTTACAACTGCCAAGTTACGGAAAGGATAGTATTCATTGTTGAATAAAGAAAAATAGGAGCTAGAGAGATGGCTCAGCAGTTAGGAGCGCTTGCTGCTTGCAGAGGACCTGAGTTCAATTCCCAGCACCCACATCAGGTGGGTCACTCACAACTGCCTTTAACTCCAGCTGCATGGATCCTATACCCTCTTGTGGCCTCCAAGGGCATCTGCACACAAGTGGTATACAGAAAACAAGCACACACACACATAAATGTAAATAAACATTAAATTAAAACAAAAACCTAACACACAAATGGCCTTTTCAATATCCTAACTAGAAGTATTTAACATCTCGGGTCTTTTCCACAGAAAGGGTTCCAGCTCTTACTTGGAAGACTGAGGTGAACCGTAGGGAAGGCTAGGAAGGCTGGAACTTGAATACAGAACCCTAGTGATCAGGGAAGAGTAGACCAGTCAGTCAGCTGAGGTGACAGACACTTCAAATGCAAGCTTATGAAGGGAAGAGTTCTGTTTCTACAAGTCTGAGAGTGGTACAAGATTCAGACAAGTGTGAACGAGACTTCCCCCTGACTACACTGTTCCAGGAAGACTCTGCCTCCTGGCTTTGCCCATTACTGCAGGATTAAGGGCACCTTTGGGTCTGTGTGGCTGGCACATAGTAAATCGTCGAGGAAGGCATCCCGCTCGGTTTCCTCCTTTTCTCTCCTTCTTAAGTTACACTGTACAAGCTGGGTGGTGGTGGCACACGCCTTTAATCCCAGCACTTGGGAGGCAGAGGCAGGTGGATTTCTGAGTTCGAGGCCAGCCTGGTCTACAGAGTGAGTTCCAGGACAGCCAGGGCTACACAGAGAAACCCTGTCTCAAAAAACCAAAAAAAAAAAAAAAAAGTTACACTGTACAAAGCCTGTACAATGGCCAAGGCCCAGCTTTCCATCCATCTCTTCCATCACCAGGTTAGGTCAGTCACCTGCACATTCTCCTCTGCCACAGCTCAAACCTGCTCCAAACACCCTCACACAGAATGGGCAGGCCAACAGGTATTCCTGTCTGGCCCACCACAGTACACTAGAACTTAACCCAGTTCCTAAAACATAGCTGTTGCTCAATAAAGATTCATTTACTAAACAAATACAAAGAAGAAGAAAATGTAGAAATATAAACGCCTGCCTCTAGGATGAGGACACACAACGGTCACGGCACAAGGCTCCATGACAGGGCACCACAGGACTTGCCCTCTCTCCCATGAGAAAACATCTTAGAGAATGCACCATCCCTGAACCCCTCCAGTCCCCAGCCCACGGGGGCCACTTACTTGGTCACAGGGAGCAACTGCTGCTCTGACAGGACACTCAGCGTCCTCCCTTCAGAATGGAGTGCAGCGATCTCAGGCTTTCAACACTGGGCATTTCAAAACAGTGGCTTTGCTGCAACTGTGTAGAAATGTTTTACTTGTTATTTTTTTTAAACTGTGAGTTAAAAAAAAATCTAATGTTCAGCTTCAATTCAATGAGAATAAAATATAAACAACAATAATAATAATAGAATCACAGTATCAATTTGTAGGCAGATGAGACTGAAAATATAAATATCCTGCTGCTTAAGCAGATGCAGACTGGGATTTTCAAAGAAACTGAACCAGTCTTGGGCTTTTTGCCAAGATAACTCTCTTATTTTTCACTTTTAAAACCATATGCTGGCAGTGGTGCGACATACCTTTAACTCCAGTACTCGGGAGGCAGAGGCAGTTGGACCTCTGAGTTTGAGGCCAGCCTGGTCTACAGAGCAAGTTCCAGGACAGCCAGGGCTGCACAAAGAAACAGTATCTGAAAAAAAAAAACAAAGAAAGAAACAAACAAAACATGCAGATACCATATAAATCTCATGTATAAAATTTTTCTGTTGTTTTTAGCTTCCAAGTACCCTATATTTCAACATTACTCATCAGGTGATTGCAAACTGAAGCCATGTCAAATTTCATCAGAGCCTCCTGGTGATTCTAAGGGCTGCCAAGGCCATGAGGCTACTTAGACCCATGCACTGTGAGTGGAAGCATAAAACCATATAATTCGGAAAATGGCCGAATGATTTCTTTTTCTGGATTTTCAAGACTCTGTTTCTCAGTGTAGTCCTGGCTGTCCTGGAACTTGCTCTGTAGACCAGGCTGGCCTAGAAATCACAGAGCTCCTACCTGCCTCTGCCTACTGAGTACTGGCATTAAAGGTGTACACCACCACTGCCCGGCTTCAACGGCCTCTTATAACTATGAGGACTAGTGACTGTATTCTTCAGTATCTACCTAAGAGAAAATGAACCCTATGTGTTGAAACAAAATGGGAGTATGAATATTCAGATCAGTGGAAGCCTAGAAGACAGGGCTGGAGAGATGGCTCAGCATTTAGCGTGCTTGCTACGCAATCATGAGGTCTGAGGCTCAGAGCCCAGCACTCACTTAACAAGCCAGGTTTCCTTCAAATGCCTGTTTCTCCAGTTCTGAGGATCCGATACTCAGTTCTAGACTCCACAGTTGCACAAGCCTATGTGCCTGCATACATATGCTCTTCCACACGGATACACTCACACACAGGGATATATAAAGAAAGCAATTCTTCACAAAACTGGAAATAATTCAAGTGCATCTCCAGGAATGACTGACTATTCAGCAATGAATTTAATCCAATAGCCAGGTACGGTGGGGAACACTTGTACTCCCAGCACTCAGGAGTAGAGGCAGGGGAGTCAACAATTTGAAAATCTCTTGGACTGCACTGCAAGCCTTCTTCCAAACAGCAATCAGGAGTAACAAGAACAGCAGCAAAGTGTAGTTTATGAGGTACACAACCTGTAGTCAGTCCCAGTGCCTGGGAAGCTAACGAGGAGGGATCATAAATTTGATACGAGCATGGGCTTCATAATGAGATCCAGCATAGCCTGGGCTAAATGGCATGATCCCATCTCCCAAAATCAACTAAACAATCAAAACCCCAAATACAACAAAACAGGAACTCTATAGTGTATCTATTGCATCTGGTGTAGACACAACAACAGGGTGAAGGTCAGACGTTACACTGAGTGTACAGTCACAGTGAGCAGGGCTGGGGTCGCTCAGTGGTAGAACTCTTGCCTAGCATGCACAGGGCCCCGGGTTGGTTCAGCAGTCAGTATTCAAACAAAAAAATGTATTGGTCACATGATCAGTGGCCATAGTAACTGGTTCACTATGGATCTTCCAGTATAAGCTATTTAAGTAGGTCAGTGACAGCTGATAGATTAATAGTTGCTTGGAATGGAAAGGTCTAGCTCAAAGATCACTAGGAAATTTGGGGGTGGTTATGGAATAGTTCTTCTCTTTTTCTGAGACAGTATCTCTCTAATACATAACCCTGGCTGTCCTGGAACACCTCACTCTGTAGACCAGACTGGCCTTGAGCTCACAGAGATCCACCTGCCTCTGCCTCCCAAGTGCTAGGATTAAAGGTGTACACTACCATGCCCAGCCTGAATTGTCTTATATTTTAACCAGTGTGATAATTTGTCAAACTCCAACAAATTGTATACTGGGTTTTTATACTTTTTATTTTATCGGGGTTTTTTGTTGTTGTTGTTGTTTGGGTTTCTTTGTTTGTTTGTTTTGTTTTGTTTTTTTGTTTTTCGAGACAGGGTTTCTCTGTGTAGCCATGGCTGTCCTGGAACTCCATGAACCTGGTGTGGCGGTACATGCCATTCAAGAGGTAGAGGCAGGAGGATTAGAAGTTCAAGGTCATCCTCTGCCACACACAATCTGGAGATACATGATACAGCCTGAAACACATGAAACCTTGCTTGTTTCTAATCTATTCTAATTTACTTGTCATGGTAGACAGGGAATTACCTATGAAACCAAGAAATAACACCTTGGGAGAGTACACTTACCTCTACTGTAGCATCCTGCTTGATAAATGCAATCTTGGGCCTCCACTAAGAATGAAGTCTTCTGCATGTGGTGGCACACGCCTTTAATCCCAGCAGGTGGAAGGCAGAGACAGGTGGATTTCTGAGTCCGAGGCCAGCCTGGCCTGTAGAGTGAGTTTCAGGACAGCCAGGACTACACAGAGAAACCCTGTCTCAAAAAAACAAAAACAAAAAAAAAAGAATGAAGTCCACTGACAGAACATCTGCATAGAATATATGAAGCCCTGGGTTCAAATCCCCAGAGACCAAAAACAGGAAGAAGAAGAAAAAAAAAGCCATGGTCAAGCAAGTCTAGATGTTCAGCAACCAAGAAGACAGAACTGGTCACTGCAAGGGGAAAAAGATTTCTGAGAGGAAGCTGTGGCTAACCATAGAGTTAGACAAGATTGTTTCATTTTGTTTTCTGAGAAGAGAATCCAGAGTCCAGGCTGACTTCAGTCACTGTGTAGTGACTCAAACCTGCATGCAGTCCTCCTGACTCCTGGGTGCTGCTGCATTCGCAATCAGTTTTAAGAATTTGTTGCAGTGTTTGCCTTTTGAACCCAGGATGCTCTGGAACACTACATGGCCCAGACTGACCTTGAGTTGGAGGTCTCGTGTCCCCCCCCCCTCGTGCTGGGATAACAATTATGTGTTGCCATATCCCACAAGATTCTCTTCTTTTTATAACGGGGTCTTCCTATGTAGCTCTGGCTGGCCGGGGTACTCACTATGTAGCTCAGGTGGCCTTAAACTTTTGGCAAAACTCTTAGCTCTGTCTTTTGAGTTGGGGATGATAAGCAAGTATCCCCATGCCCAGCTCAGGGACATCTGTTAATGTACCACACATATTCATATACTCAACACCATGTAGCTATTCAGTGCTGAACATAAAGAATGAGTTTTCCTATGCTCTGGTATTCCGTTGGTTTTGTTTTGAAATTGAACCCAAAGCCTTGTACATGAAGGGTAAGCACAATTTCCCTCTTTAATTTCTTTTTCAAGACAGGATTTCTCTGTGTAGCCCTGGCTGTCCTGAAACTCACCATGTAGACTAGGCTGGCCTTGAACTCAGAGATCTACCTGCTTCTGTCTCCTGAGTGCTAGGATTAAAAGCATGCACCATCACCAGCCAGCTCTAGTTTTTTTAAAAATCTAACTTTGAATGGCACTGGCTGTGTAGTATTCATATGTGATGGTAAGAATCAAACTTTACTTTTAGGACATATTACTTCTTAGAATCACCAACCTCCCAGTGAGTTTAATATATCTGATATTAATCAGGGAAACAGCAGATTGTAGAATAGAGAAAGTGCTGTCTCAGGAGTCTTGATCTCTAGCCTGATATGAGACATTGGCTCAAAAATGAGTTTAGGTATAATGACTGGACAGTGCCGTTTGACGAACCATGGGTAAGGTGCCAAATGTAAATGTATCTTTTATTTGGCAGGTGTAATTGTCATCTTGGAGGCTTACTGCTCATTAAGATCACCTTTTCTTTTTTTTAATATTTATTTATTTATTTATTTATTTATTTATTTATTTATTTTATTGATGAGTACACTGTAGCTGTCTTCAGACACACCAGAAGAGGGCATCCAATCTCATTATGGATGGTTGTGAGCCACCATGTGGTTGCTGGGATTTGAACTCAAGACCTCTGGAAGAGCAGTCAGTGCTCTTAACCGCTGAGCCATCTCTTCAGCCCCCAAGATCACCTTTTCTAGTTCTTTCTGAACTCTGTCTGGCTGATCCAGACAGTTGTTCTGGCTCAAACTCCTCTCCAAACTGAATCTGGCTTCTCTCAGCTTCTGACTGAATTGCTCTGCTTGGCCTCAAACTAACTCTGGCAATTTGCTCTAATCTTCTGCCTTCTTCTCATTCTCAGCTTCAGTAATCAAATAAATAATCTGAATTTAAGTATTAAGCAGTCTTGGAGGTATACGTGACCAGGCACTCAAGAGGCAGAGGAAGAATTGCAGTTGAGACCAACCTGGGCAATATAGTAAGATTGTATCCCCCGAGGAAAAGGAAGAATTTCTGTACCAGTTTATCTACTTATTGAGTGAGATTACAACATATAAATTTTTAAAAAATTAGAGTATTAAACTTCTGTTTCTGCATCAGCATTTTGCAAAAACACATTCCACAGAACATTTCTCTACCCTATTAATATTTCTAGAAATAAAAGGGTTCTTTTGATTTTGTTGAAAGATGTTTTTCCTATTCCAAGAATATATGACCTGCTAATTGCTAACTCCAAGATTTAGCCCACTCCAAAGCTTCTGTAAGTTTGTAGGAGCTCTGACACTTGCACTTTCTACTTCTGGTCCCTGGGATACGAGGGCTTCTCAACTAAGTGACAAAGCAGCTCCTGCTCTTTTGCCAGGAGGGCCACCTCTCTGCCTTCCAAGGCTCCCTCTCTTCTGGCTCCTCCTGGATAGGCTGCCTTCCACTTTGATCCCTCTTAAACACACATTTCCAGCTGGACATTCTGCCTGAAATTCAAACACAACTGAAACCAAGCTCATTATTTCTCCCACCACCAATCCAGGTTCTCTGTTTTCTCAAATTTGTCATCTATATTCCATAGCCAGCAAGTGAAACACGTTGGAATCAATTTCCCCTCCTTTCTCTGTCACATGCCTTCTTCAATTCCTAAGTCTTCAAGACTCATACATTTCTCCCCAAATCATATCCTTTGCACTTTAATTTCCTAGTTGAATTTCTGATAGCTTCTGGATTAAACCAATAAAGCCACCCTACACATCGTGCTGAGTCAGCACTTTAAAAAAACGGATCCTTCTCTGGTCCTAAGACATTTCATGGTTCAAGGACTATGTCTCATCTGCTCACATCTGACAGATTCTCCAACATCTTTGTTGAAGAGAAATGAAAGAAGTCAAATTCCAACGTGAAAACGTAGGCAGCAGGATCTATCCCCACCAGCCTGACAACTCTGCTTTAGCAAACAAGTTGATCAAACAACAGCTAACTACTTCCGGTCCTGTCCGGCTTGGGGGGTGAGGGGGAGAAACTAACATAAACCCTCCTTAGTGACCCATGACCTGCTTCTCTTTGCTCTGGGCTGTATATATTAACTTTTAGCTTTAGAATAATTTTAGATTTTTCAATAGGTTGCAAAGATTTAGACCTATACGCCCGTCACTTAAATTCCTCTAAAGTTAGCATCAGAGTACATGTATCAAAAATTGAGACATAAAACACCCGCACAGGTTAAACTAAACCACACACTTCCGTGGATTTCCTGTTTCTCTCGAGGGCTTTTCTTCGTTCCCTTTTGTTTCAGGATACTGAAACCAGGATATTGTATAGCACTTAATGCGTTACAGCTTTATGGATCAAAACTAATAGCTAGATAGCAAGAAGAGACAGAAACAGAGTTTTTGAAATCGGTATTCTCAGGTGTCACACGAGGCCATTAATGGCTGGCCCTCCGTGTGGGAAGGAGCCGGTTTGCTGATCTGACCACCACCCGCAGTTTCCACTCCTGAGCAGCCGGGCTCCTGACCCTCCCCGCCGCAGTTCCCGGTGTCCTGGCCTGACGCTGGCGCTCAGCGCATCCGTCCCAAGGATCGAACCTCCCGCCGCGCACCCCGCGCGCCCCTTCAGTGGCTCACCCCACTCCGCCACGCGTCCTCGGGCCACCTGACTGCACGGCCACCGCCGGGGACCCGAAAGGACCGCCAGGTCCCGGTGGGCCAGCGGTGCGCCAGCTCTCCTGAGCCCAGTATCCGTGCCTCCGTGCAACCGGATGTTAGCTGCCCTCCTCCAACTTCAGCTCCAAAGCCGGATGGACAACCGACGTACAAATAAAAGCCTGAGATTTAGAACAGACTAGGGCAAGGTGAGCGTCAATACACGGAAAATTCAGGAGCCCCTAGGAGAAGAACGCGCCCGCCCGAGGTGAGGTTCCTGGGAGAGGCTCATCTTGGAACGCAGGCTTTCGGCTTTAGAAAGCCCACTTAGAAACCCTGAAGGCAGCCTGGGCTGGAGGGAACGCTGAAGCACAGGCGGGGCAGGCGGCCAAGCCTGGAGAGCGCCGGTGGCTAGACCGACTGTTCGTTTCCTATCACAGGGGCTACCTCGCACTAACCATCCGCCATACTGGATCAACTTCATTACCTTGCTGAAATGTTTGTGTACTAATTCTCTGTGCCGACACCTTGTAATAACTGAAGGCTTTGCTACTGTCAAACACTTCCCCAGGCTTAAAGATTACTCTGGTAGAAACAGACATCAGATCCTTCTCTTGTAGTAATGAACTTAGTAATTCTTCTCCAGAGCCAGTCTGTATTGTCCTTAGGTACTTAGACAAGAGGAAATCCGACTTAGAATGGAATTTATATTGGGAGATGTACAGCCTCTATCATGAGCTGCGTGGAGTCTTTCTCTCTCTCTCTCTCTTTTTTTTTTTTTTTTGTTTGTTTTTCGAGACAGGGTTTCTCTGTGTAGCCCTGGCTGTCCTGGAACTTACTCTGTAGACCAGGCTAGCCTCGAACTCTCGAACTCAGAAATCCGCCTGCCTCTGCCTCCCAAGTGCTGGGATTAAAGGCGTGCGCCACCACCGCCCGGCTGGAGTCTTTCTCATAAACCCTTTGCAATCACCTAGCTTCTGAACTTGATTCTATACCCGTATTGAAACGAGTGAACTACTAGGGGTGGCTGTGTGAATTCAGAGCTCATTAAAAAACAAGCAAAACAAACATGTTTAAGACCGCCTGGCATCGTAATGTAAGTTATCACTCATGTGTTTGTGATAGTAAAAACCTGCAAACGTACGTCCACCAGAGAACTGATTAACTCAATCTAAGAAATGAGTCCTGGAACACAGGGGAGGGGGAGGAAAGAACATACCTGGTGTGAACCGCTAGCCTCCGTTAATAAACGCACACGTGTACTTGCATGCATCTATTCTACAAATACTCTTAACAAATGTGAACTGTACACTTTATCGTTTTGGGGGGTGCTGGTGATCGTACGCAGCGGCCTTATTATGGTTTGGATGAGAATGGTCCCTATAAGCTTTGAATGCTTAGTCCCTGATTGGTGGAACTACTAGGTTTGGGAACAATTAGGAGGTGTGACATTGTTGGAGGAGGTATATCACTGAAGGTGGACTTTGGGCTTTCAAAAGCCCTAACCAGGACCGATATCTCTCTTCCTTCTGCTCGTGGATCAGATGTAAGCTCTTAGCTACTGACCCAGAGCCTCCCCACCATGATGGTCATGGACTCAGCCTCTCAAACTATCAGCACGCCTCCCAATCAGATGCTTCTTTTATAAGTTGCCTTGGTCATGGTGTCTCTTCATAGCAATAGAACAGTGAGTGACGAAGCCGGACTTTGTACATCTAAACATTTGCCATCACCGAGCCGCATCCCCAGACTGAACATTTAAGTCACTAAGTTTTAAATCAGCTTTTCTTTTCTTCTGTGACAGGGTTTCTCTATCCTGGCTGGCCTGGGACTTGCTTTGTAAACTAGGCTGGCCTCAAATTCAGAGGTCTGTCTGCCTCTGCCTCCCTAGTGCTAGGATTAAAGGCACATGCCACCAACGCTATTAAATCTGAATTTTAAGATGGTAAAAATTTACCTAAAAAAATAATTGAGAGGTCTGTATTTTCTGAGATAATACAATCCTCACATAAAATACAGAGTATGTATATGCACACAGAAGCCAGAGGACAATGTTGGAGATTGTTCCTCAGGTGCCTTACAGCTCATTTTTAAGGCAGTTATTTTTAAAATAATAAAACATTTTAAAATAAGACAAAATATTTTAAAAATAATACACCTTAAGACTTTTAAGACTTTAGCCTGGAACTCATGAACTATGCTAGGTTAGCCTCAGATCCCTAGAGCCAGCCATCTCCACCTCTCCAGCACTCAGGTTACGGCAAGCACCTGCTACCAAACCCATCTTTTTAAAAAGGTGGGTTCTGGGAATCGAACTCTTGTCCTTGCAAACACTTTACTGATAGCTATTTTCTCAGTTCTCTTACTATTTTTTTTAAAAAGTGTATATACACACGTTTTATAGGCATCAAATCTCTGCAAGAATATACAGGAAACCAGAAACATTATTTCCTAGAGGGAGGTGACCTGGGAAGAGAGAGAGGTGGGCTAGAAGGCTAGTGTAACATTTATATATAACATAAACTCTGTATACAGAACAAGTATCATTTGCTGTGTCTAGAGTAGCTCCAGGGACATATCTGACTAGGAATAGCAAAGGAATGAAGACAGGCAGAAAAACGGTATTAGGTGGACTGGACCTGTGATGGAGAAACCTCAGCACCCTGTAGCTCACTCACCTTGTTGGGAGGCAGGCTATTGCATACAGCTGAACAGGGGTGGAATTATCACAGACAAAGGAGACAGTGTTTATGGGATACAACTGGATCAAGGAGACAGATTTAGCTAATCTCAGAACAGTCTCTATGCCGTAAATACCCAGGGGAGAAAGTTATGGGGACATTTCTACATGGGCAGCATCCACGTTAACCGCAGAAGGCTTGGCATCCCTCTGAGCCTCCGCTGTGGGATGGATGAAGGCTCTTCTATGGGTCTGAGGCTATGGGGTCCATGACATGGCTGTGCCCATGTCTGGTCCACATCCACTCAGACTTCATTCACTAGGATCTTCCTTGGCTCCCCACAACTGTTAGTCCAAAAGGAAAATACCCCTAGTGTTATGTTCTGTATGTAGTGTCAGCTGTCTTTCTTGACTACTCTTACTCAAGCAGCTGCTTCCTGAACTCAGAGCTAGCCAGTTCCAACTGGTCTAGTTAGCCAGCTTGTCCCAGGGACTGTTCTGACCCCATACTGGGTTTACAAAACTCTTATCTTCATGCTTCTTCATCCACAGTACCATCTCGCCAGCCCTTAAATGATTTAAGCCTACTTTTCACTGTGTGAGTGCACATGCCAGCGCGCATGCGGAAGTCGGACAATGATCACCTGTGGGAGCTGGTTCTCTCCTCCATTGTGTGGGTCTCAGCCTCAGCCTTAGTCAGGTACTCGTGCTTACAAAGCCATCTCAACAGCTCCTCCCCCCACCCCAATTTTCTCAAAATAAAGCAATACTGACGATGTATCTTTAATTTTCCATTTTTATTTTAAGAGATCACCTACATTTTACTGATTAAATTTAAGAGATCTTTACCCATTGATCAGATTTGTTATCAATTCAATTTGAAGACAATTTTCAATCTTTAGTAAGTTATATTCATATCTGAGATTGTTTAACCTTTCTCACGAAGAAAAAGAAACCCAGGCAGCAGCTAGACCTGCAACACAAGTTTTCTTCTGCTTACCCTCGGGCACTTCTACTACGTGGACTGAGTGACTATAGCCAGGCTTTTTTGCTTTGTTTTCATTGAAACAGTCTTACTATGCAGCCCTGGCTGGCCTAGAACTCACTATGTAGACCAGTTGCTGCCTCCTGAGATCTGGGACTAAAGGTGTATACCTCGGTGGTGCCTGGCCACCCAGTCTCTAAGTTAAGGGTTATGATCTTTGACCCACTGCTCAATCCATTTTGAGATTTGGTTGATATTGTCCTCTAGCTGTTCTGGTTCATTACTGGGCAGCTGATGCACAATTTCTTCTTTGTAAGATGCTATGGCTTCTTCATAAAGAACTTGAAAAATCTCACACTGAATATTGTCTTGTAGTTTCTTCTCATTATAACCCCTGGAAGGCAAAGAGAGGTTAAGCAAACACAATAGCATAAACTATAGCTTCGGGAACAACCTGGACACTTAATTTTGAGTATATGAAAATTTACACAAAAATACCTCTCATGCTCTCTTCACCCAGAGGAAAGAGACTAGCATCTACGAGAGACTTCTTTGACATGAGGACTAAACTGAGAATTATGAGACTGACATATGGTTTATCTAGATCAAGTGCTAATTTATTAGCTGCCCAAATAATTACCAATCAATTAGCCAGTAATCAAGTCCCTACCTCAAGCCAGATTCTTGGCTATGACATAAACAAAAACATCCATGGCAAGGATTTCTTCTTTTCTTTTTTTGTTTTTCGAGACAGGGTTTCTCTGTGTAGCCCTGGCTGTCCTGGAACTCACTCTGTAGACCAGGCTGGCCTCGAACTCAGAAATCTGCCTGCCTCTGCCTCCCAAGTGCTGGGATTAAAGGCGTGCGCCACCACCACCCGGCCATGGCAAGGATTTATGATAAAGATGGATAGCACACACAAGAGGAAAGTGTGGAATACCATACATCAATTGGATAATTCATCATAAAAATGTTATCTATATTTTACCAATCTCAAAGGTAATAAAAGTAAGTTACATGTTTAGGCAGTATATAAACCTATATAAACCAACTAAATACCCAGTTAAAAGTTAAGGGCCAGAGGACCACGACATGTTGTCTGTTTGTTGAAAAGCTACCAAGGCCATTTGGAGCCTTTGACAGGAATAAGAGTTTGATACTGGTACTTCAAGAACCAGCCTGACTCCATTTTGTTCCTGGAAGCCATTTTGAGCTGGAATCAAAAGTGTGTGTCACACTCAGCACATATCTTGTTAATTTTCATAAGCTTTCCTACTGTTGGTATGGAGATTAGAATGGACAGTGTTTAAACATATTAGTGTTTGGTCCTTTTCCTAGAAAAGGCTTGTATCGCCGAGCGGTGGTGGCACACGCCTTTAATCCCAGCACTTGGGAGGCAGAGGCAGGCAGATTTCTGAGTTCAAGAGTTCGAGGCCAGCCTGGTCTACAGAGTGAGTTCCAGAACAGCCAGGGCTACACACAGAAACCCTGTCTCGAAAAACCAAAAAAAAAAAAAAAAAAAAAAAAAAAGAAGAAGAAAGGAAAGAAAAGGCTTGTATTGGGGATAAAACAGGATAGTGTGGGAGGTTTTATCTGGTATATTTACTAAATCAAATTTTTAGTCGGGTAGTGTTGGTGCCCGCCTTTATTCTCAGCAAACAGGAGGCAGAGGCAGGTGATCTCTGAGTTCAAGGCCAGCTTGGTCTACAGAGTGAGTTACAGGAAAGTCAGGGCTACACAGTCTTGGGGGAAAAAATTTCAGTTGAGGCATTCTGTTACTCAGGAAGTGCTTACCTGGGCCTTACAAATGTCTTTGGCTCAGTATAACCGTATCTACAGATTCAGTTTACAGGGAGCAAATGAAGCAGCTACCTTTCAGAGCCTTCTACGGTCGTGTCAGTCAACCTCATAAACCCGAAGAAAATTTATTTAAAACAAAATCAGTTTCTTCTTTCCCTTACCTTGTTTCAAGTCGTTTGTACAATATACCATTATCTGTCCTCAACACAAACACTATGTGAAACCAGCGCTCAGGAAAGAAGTCACAGCCGTGGTAGTCAACAATGACGCCGCCCTCTTGCATCTGCTGCTCTAACTCATCGACGACCCTATCCTCATCTAGGATGGGACAGCCGTACTCCTCATCATAGCCGTCGTATAGCTGCCCTGCAAGAGGGTTACACGAGCCTGTTAGTAGTTCCTAAGTCATCGATGATGATTTCTTCAGATCAAGAGAGGGCACTGATACAATGACTGAGGCATGGTCAACAAACATCAAGGGCCAGAGCGAAAACTGGATTTTACCTAGTAGGAAACCTGGGCAACATAGCTCAACCTTTGCTTTGTGCTTGTCAGGGCCTCCCCACGCAGACCAAGTTGGCTTTGAACTAGGAATCCTCTGATCTCTACCTCTGGAGAACTAGATGACAGGATGTGCCGCCATGGCCAGCTCACATCAAACATTTGCATAAAAAAAAAAATGCCTGGAGGAGGTGGCACGTGCCTTTAATCCCAGCACTCAGGAGGCAGATCTCTATGAATTCAACGCCAGCCTGGTCTACAGAGTGAGTTCCAGGACAGCCAAGGCTACAGAGAAACCTTGTCTCAAAAAAGCAAAAAATAAAAAAGTAAAGATTTTATTTTTAAAATTGTATTTTCTCCAGGTCAGAAGTACTGAACCCCTGTAAGTGGTATTATGGGTTGCTGGCTGTAAGCCATGGGGTACTTCCTAGGAACTTAACTCTGGCCCTCTGAAAGAGAATGAGCTCTCAACCACTGAGCCATCTCTCTAGCCCCAAATACATGGGGATGGAAAGGGGTTTTCTTTGTTTTTTTGGGGTTTTTTTTTTGGGTTTTTCGAGACAGGGTTTCTCTGTGTAGCCCTGGCTGTCCTGGAACTCACTCTGTAGACCAAGCTGGCCTTGAACTCAGAAATCCGCCTGCCTCTGCCTCCCAAGTGCTGGGATTAAAGGCGTGCGCCACCACCACCCGGCGGAAAGGGGTTTTCAAGGCAGGGTTTCTCTGCGTAGCCCTAGCTGTCCTGGAACTCAGAGATCTGCCTGCCTCTGTCTATCTACCTACTAAGTGCTTGATTAATGGCATGACCCATCACTGTCTGCCCAAGTAATTATTTTAATAAAAAAGTTTACCGCCATCCCCCTTTAAGACAGGGTCTCACTGTATCTCTGGCTGGCCCTGAACTCAAGAGATCTACCTACCCAATCCTCTTGAATACTGGGATTAAAGACCTGAGCCACCCACCTGGCTAAAAGATTTACTTTATTTTTAGTCATGTATATGTCCATGTGTAGTTATGTGCCTATGACTGTGTGTGCCTGCAGGGACCAGAACCATTAGGTCTCCCTGGAACTGGAGTCAAACACACTTGTGAGCCACCCGTGGGTGCTAGGAACTGAACTTTCTTTTCTGCAAGAGCAGTATGCATTCTTAGAGTCATCTCTCCAGGCTTTCTCTACAAATTTAAATATCAAAGTCTTTAAAGAGCAGGGGAGGGGATAGCCAGTATCAGAGCTGTTAGTGGAAGGACATTTTGTTGTTGTTGTTGTTATTGACTGGCAGGAAAAGAGAACACATGGACAGACAAATATAAACACTCTCCCACATTACAACTGGGCTTCAATCCCAGCATGCTGGAGGCAGATGCAGGCACATCACTGTGAGTTTGAAGCCAGCCTGGTTCACACAGTAAGTTCTAGGACAGCCAGGACTACATAGAGAAACCCTGTCTCAAAACAACAACAAACAAAACAAAGCCACAAAAACTAAACGACAACAACAAAAAACCAAGATTGGGCTCCAAATTAAAGTCAAGAATATAAAATTGGGGGCTGGCTCAGCGGTTAAGAGCACTGACTGATCCTCCAGAGGTCCTGAGTTCAAATCCCAGCAACCACATAGTGGCTCACAACCATCTGTAATATGATCCGATGCCCTCTTCTGGTGTGTTTGAAGACAGCTATAGTGTACTTGTATAAATAAATCTTAAAAAAAAAAAAGAATATAAACTTGGGGGCTATAAGGTAGCACAGTGGTAAAGAGCACTGGCTGCCCTTCCAGAGGTCCTAAATTCCCAGCAACCACATGGTGGCTCACAACCATCTGTAATGAGTTCTGATGGCCTCTTCTGGCATCCAGGTGTGCATACAGATAGAGCGCTCATATACATAAGTCTTTCACACACATACATTCATATTCTCTCTCTCTCTCTCTCTCTGCAATCTCAAGTTCTTGCTTCTGCAAGTAAATCCCACTTCCTGAACTCACACTTTCATACGGTAAAGTGGAGTCAATATCTTTATTTTCAGAATCTTCAAGTCATTCCTCTCAACAGCTAGATGGTCTTGGACTTGGAGATATAGCTCAGTGGTAGAGCATTTGCCTAGCACTCACAAGGCCCTGAGTTCAATCAATCTCACATATAGTCAAATATATATATATATTCTATATCTATCTATCTATCGAAATAGCTTTATTTTAAAAGGCAGAGGCCTGAGAGATAGTTCATCAGTTAAAGGCACTTGCTGTTCTTTCAGAGGACCTGGGTTCGGATCCCAGAGCTCACATGGCAACTCATAACTGTCTGTAACTCCAGTTCCAAGGGGTCTGACACCCTCTTGTAGCCTGTTGGCATCAGGCATACATGTGGTAAACATACTGAAATACCTGACTCATGCTTTCAGATGTCTGCCCTCTTGGAGGCAGGGAAAGTGAGGCAGTCTTGGGTAGGGGAGCTTGCAGCTGCCACTGCTTCACATGGTGAGCAGCAAAAGCAGAGAGGAGGTAATAACCGTTAAGGAGAACCCCCAGCACCTTGGCCAGCCAGGCCCTAACCCCTAAAAGTTTCAGTCTCAGTGTCACTGTATGGAACGTAAGTCTACGGGGATGAAGAGAAGGCATATTGGTTAAGACCATGTATGGCTCCTGGAGACCAGAATTGTTTCCAGCACCCACATGGGCAGCTTACAACTGCCTGAAACTCTAACTTCGGGGGCTATATACCTCTGACCTCTGTGGGTACTCCCAAGTACACACACATAATTAACAAAAATAAAAACAAACCTGTATTACCATTTCTTAAAAAGACTTAGTTTATCTGAGTGCTCTAGCTGCATGTACACCTGTCTGCCAGAAGAGAGCATCAGAACTCATAGATGGCTGTGAACTACCATGTGGTTGCTGGAAACTGAACGAACTTAAGATTTCTGGAAGAGCAGCCGATGCTCCCAACCGCTGAGTTATCTCTCCAGCCCCCCTTTATTTCTATTTAAATCTAAAACAGCCAAGTATGAAGTAAAACCCCTTCAATCCTGGCATACAGACAAAACACCCATACACATAACCATTTTTTATTTTTAAAAAATTATATGCTGTCAAAAAATCAGATGTAGTAAAATTAACCTTTAGAATTAGAATTAATTTATTGTAATGTTTGTTTTACGTATTTTTTTTCTTTAAAGGTTTATTTAATGTGTGTTTGTTTGCCTCCATGTAACTGTGGACCACATGTATCCCTGGTGTCTAGAAGCCAGAAGTGGGCAATGAATCCTCTGGAACTGGAGTTACAGTTATGAGCTGTGAGTGCTGAGGACCAAACCTGGGTCCTTAGGAAGACCAGGCCGTGCTCTTAACCGCTGAGCCATCTCTCCAGCCTCCTTTGATGTAGAGATGAAGGTTCTAATTTTTAAAAAAGATTTATTTAATGTATATGAGTATACTGTCACTGTCTTTAGACATACCAGTAGAGGGCACTGGATCCCATTACAGATGGTTGACAGCCACCATGTGGTTGCTGAGAGTTGAACTCAGGACCTCTGGAACTCAGTCAGTGCTCTTAACCGCTGAGCCATCTCTCCAGCCCCTAGCTGTTCTTTTAATTGTCTGTATATGGTATGTGTAGACTATGTAGAGATCAAAACACATGTGACTCTTCACACCTGTGTGATTTTTCTTGCTGAGACATCTCTTTGGTCTTCAAAATATATAAAAAATATATTGACAGAGAGCTTTTTGTTGTTTTTTTCTTCTTCTTCATCCTCCAAGACAGGGTTTCTCTACGTAGCCCTGCCTGTCCTGGAACTCAACTTTGTAGACTAGGAAGGCCTTGAACTCATATCTACCAGCTTCCGCTTCCGATGCTGGGACTAAAAGTGTGCACCACTACCACCCAGATAATGAAGGATATTTTCAATCATGCCACCATATCTTAATGAAACAGTATACTTTGAAATACTTACTTCAAAAACACTTTTTTCAAACAACATGTACTAGTTATTGAAGGGATAATAAGGACACACTAGTGAACAGAATATATGAAGTTCCTTCCCTCAGATATCTAGTAAACTGGAGATGGCAGGTAAGTCTGGAAATTGGTGTGTTGCTAGGGGAGAAAATGGATGGGTACCTAGCATAACCTCAAGATGTTAGGGGAGGCTTAAAAGAAGCAACGTTGTGTGTTATCTGTGTGTGTGTGTGTGGACACGCATAGGAATCTATGGGTATGAGTATCTATGCAGAGATCGGGACAGCAATACCCTGCTGTTTACCTTGTGGTTGCAGAGTAAGAGTTCTTGCCTACAGAGCTATCTCCTAGGCAGGAAGTCATTTCATTTCTAGGCAGAGATTAGAAGTAGTTAGCTGGAGAAGGGGTCGAGAGAACTGTAGAGACTATTTTATTTTAGCCAAAGTAAGCAAGATAAAAAAGGCTATTAAGACTGCTTAAATGGGGCTGGAGAGATGGCTCAGCGGTTAAGAGCACTGACTGCTCTTTCAGAGGTCTTGAGTTCAAATCCCAGCAACCACATGGTGGCTTACAACCATCCGTAATGAGATTGGATGCCCTATTCTGGTGTGTCTGAAGACAGCTACAGTGTACTCATAAAATAAATAAATAAATAAATAGTTTTAAAAAAAAAAAAAAAAAAGACTGCTTAAATGGGGCTGGAGAGATGGCTCAGCGGTTAAGAGCACTGACTGCTCTTCTAGAGGTCCTGAGTTCAATTTCCAGCAACCACATGGTGGCTCACACCATCTCTAATGGGATCAAATGCCCTCTTCTGCTGTGTCTGAAGACATCTACAGTGTACTTATATACATTAAAAAAATAAGTAAAATTTTTTTTTTTTTCGAGACAAAAGGTTTCTCTGTATAGCCCTGGCTGTCCTGGAACTCACTCGGTAGACCAGGCTGGCCTTGAACTCAGAAATCTACCTGCCTCTGCCTCCCAAGTGCTGGGATTAAAGGCGTGCGCCACCACCGCCCGGCTAAGTAAAATCTTAAAAAAAAAAAAATTCTAGGCAGAGTCTTCATGCCAAAAATAAAGGACTACAAGAGATGGCTCAGAGGTTAAGAACACTGGCTGCTCTTCCAAAGGTCCCGAGTTCAATTTCCAGCAACCGTATGGTGGCTTACAACCATGTGTAATAGGATCTGATGCCCTCTTCTGAGGTGTCTGAAGAGTACTGTACAGATACTGTTTTTTTTTTTTTTAAGAGAAACTATAAGTTAGAGACCAAGTATAAGTGCACATAGAGTATATGTGTGGGTGGGAAGTTAGAATCAGGAAGTGGTAAGAAGACTCAAGGACGATTTCAAGGCATGCTTTTTAATTATGATAATTTGGAGATGTGTTTACAAAGTTTGGACATGTATGACAAGCATCTAAAAATTAAGCTTCCAAAATTACAAACATGAGTCACCAGCTTAAAGGTGGTTAGTCTAGAGTAAATGGGATTATGAGCAGGAGGGAAAGAATTCCAAGACAGCTGCCATGGACTCAGAGGAATCACCTTAGTTTCAGTAAATCCTTGAGGTTTTGCAGGGTTATTCCTTAGCTAAGGTAAATACACAGCAGAAGCTTAGCAACTCCCGAGTCAAGATTAATTACTGTGCAAGTACTCCATGGTAGAGTATTTGATTATTAGCATGTACCTGGTTCTATTTGAAATGAATTCAATACCCCTGTATTATTCTCCAAGACCTATGTGTACCCTGGAGTTAGCCTTTATTGGGTAGGAAACTAAGGGTAGGAAAATTGAGGATGCTAATAACACTGTAACAATTGTCTATGAGAAAGAACACAAAGTGGAGAGTAATCTAAGACAGGGGACACAGGATAAGCATGCTACCCATGCTACTGAGGTGCTCAGTCAGGAGAACCATTTGAGCCAAAGTTAGGAAAAACATTTAAACTTTAAAAAGTGAGACTAGAGCCGGGCGGTGGTGGTACACGCCTTTAATCCCAGTACTTGGGAGGTAGAGGCAGGCGGATTTCTGAGTTCGAGGTCAGCCTGCTCTATCCGAGTGAGTTCCAGGACAGCCAGGGCTACACAGAGAAACCCTGTCTCGAAAAACAAAAAAAAACAAACAAAAACAAAACAAAAAAAGTGAGACTAGACCCACTATCTCACTACCTGAAGCCCTCGTCTGGCCTCCACGGGCACCAGGCACACACAGCACAGAGCAATGCACGTACTTACAGGAAAAACACCCATATACATAAAACATTGGAAAAAATGCCTTCATATACCCAAATACCACCAAAGAAATGCCATTTAGAAAAGGAATTGAGAAACTAGACCACTTGTTTAACCTGAGGAAGTTAAATCTAAGCATATAAGTAAAATAAACATAATTTAGTTATATGAAGAAATCTTGACCAAGTAGTTCCTCCAAATATGTGTCATAGTTATATAAATTAGAGAAAATACCCTAAGAGTGACTTACTTACACACAGGAGACTCTAAAATATCTGGCTGGGTGTGGTGGTGAACACCTTTATTCCCAGCACTCAAGAAACAGAGGCAGGAGGAGCTGTGAGTTCAAGGCCAGGCCAACATAGTTCCCAGGATATCCAGTACTACAGAGAGACCCTGCCTCAAAAATCAATAAGCATCTAAAGACAGAGGTAAGTAGCACAGTAGATGTAATAACAAAGGCTGTAAAAACTTCAAACTGAGGGGGAAACTGTTTTTGAAAACATAACTGCCAAAGTACCAAGAATCAAATTGACAAATAACAATTTTATTTTTATGCATAAAGGATGATGAAAAACCATTACTAGTTCTAGTAAAACTGAACATTTCAATCAAAAAAGCATAGTAAGTATACTTATTAAATACCACTTTCTAGAAGTACAGTGTTAAAACATCTAACATGCTTTTTAAACTTCAGTACAATGGATCCAAGACCAAGAGTACAGGTTACATGCATCAAGGCTAGATTACAAATTATCATAGTCATCATCATCATCATCGTCATCATCATCATCTTCTTCACGCTTTCTTTTCAGCGTACTTGCTGACTCACTGACTGTATTTTGTGACACCATATTAGTAGTAATAAGAATATTTTTGGACCCAATTAATGATGGATTAATAAGAACATTCTGAACTGCTGATGTTGCAGGAATGGGAGCTTTTACAGCAGGGGACTGAGAAGCAGGCATCTGCACTGTAAACCTCTGTCCTGTGAGGGACATTGGAGTGCCTACTTTAGATGAAACGGACATGGTTTGTGGAGTTGGTGTACCTAGTGTGGGAGTACTTGGCCTACTAGAAACTGAACCAACACTTAACCTTGGAACCGTTATTCTTCCTGCAGGAGTAGGTGCCTTTTTTTGTAAAGACTTAAGCCTATAGTTTGGAGCAGTTAAGCAATATCTATCAGGTGGCAATCTAGGGCCTGAATATGGCTTTATCAGTGGCAAAGGGGTTTGATTTCTTTGTCTTGCAATATCTAATAAGAAATCTCTTGGGGGAGGAGAAGTGAACGACTGGTCAGCCCGGCACTGGATTGCCAACCGTACATCGTCTGCGTCAACAGTAGTTTTCTTAGCATGGCTTGAATAGATTTTAGCATCATCTAGAATTGTGGTCACATAGCGGAAGGCAAACTCCAGCATCTGATTTATAACTCTTGGCTCATACTCTGTAATCCCCATATCCTTCAGGATTTGTGCCATCATCTGTGCATCTTTCGGCATGCTCTTGGGAGACGCCATCTTGCCAGACTCCATGATATCCGGTGATCAGACTTTAGGTCATTTAAAAAAAATATGGAAATTAGATCAAACCGAAAAAGTTACTTTAGTAGCAACTGCTAATAATTTTAAATTTTCAAATGTGTTAAAACGTTTAAAAATATATTTAAAATACAAAACATCAATCCTTCTAGTTAAGCATATTTAAACTTCCCTTTGCTTAAATATGGAATTCCTTCTCTGAATGTGGACTATAAAAAGGATGACACAAATAAGTTAAATAATAAAAGATTAGGGGAAAATAAGGGAAAACAAGTAAAATTATCACTTTAGACCATATGCAGTGAGTCTGGGCATGCAACTGTCAAAGTGATTTTTAAAAAATAATATGATATTGTCCTAGACTAATGGTTTGCGTTCACAGTAATCTGTTCTTCCTGAGAGATCAATATGTCTCGGACATACATTTAAAATCACCCAAACCTTTGTGTCTGATGAGCTCTTTCATTTTCCCTCTTCTTCATAGTCAGATCTTATCTATCCACTTTCCTAACAGAAACTCTCAATTACTACTGTTTGCAACAATGCTAGTTATTTTGGGTTAGGGAAGGGAAAATGTCCAAAATAACTATGTAATACTACTATTTCCCACACACGTGACATCTTTTCTTTCTCAAGTCCCTAGCAGAACATAAATTACTTATTACCAGGACCTTTCTGCTTCCTGGCCCTCTAGCAACACTTAACAGTACTAATACTCTACTACCTCACTTAAAAACAAAAAAACAACAAAGCGACCCTCACCTTCTCGAGCTAGATCTCCCACATTAACGTACTTCAGGCCTGATCTTGATGCAAGTTCTTTGCCTAGTGTGGTTTTTCCAACCCCTGGTGTACCTGTAAGAAAAGCAACAGAAAAATATTGTTCAAATACTACTTATTAGATGTCAGCCATCTTCTGCCTTTAAGGTTCTTAACTGGCATAGATATTTTCTTAATTAGCAATCATATATGAATATATACCATGAACTACTAAAAATTCCCCAGAAAGCCTTTAATCCCAGCACTTGGGGCAGAGGCAGGTGATAATCTCTGTGACTTCAAGACCAGATTAGCTACATAGTTTCAGGACAGCCAGAGATACAAAGTTAGACCCTGTCTCAAAACCAAACCAAACCAAACAAAACCACCAAAAAATTCTCTAGAAATTACCAGGTATCAGTGTCTATATCCTAATCTCCAGGGATAGGACTCCAGCAATTTTGATGCCAATTCTGCCTGCCAATAACATAAAATTTCCAGCATAAAATTAAGCACCTCAAATACACATACAAATACAAAAATCATCATTTGTTGCATTAATAAAAGCTGAAAAAACATTCAACGGAAAAAATGTAAGTAGTATGAGAAATACCATTACTACTATCTACCCCTAACTTTCCCAGAGGGAACTACTATAAACCAGTTTCTTACTTAACCTTCTATGTGTTTGTGCATATCTAAGGGACACTTGGTATACAATTAAATATATGTGCACATACACACTGCATATATCCACACACAGCATCAATACCCTCTTGCATAACTGACACTATACATTGTTCTTTTATCTTTTTATAGCTAACACCCTTATAAGACAATCAAATGCATAATGTTCAAACTCAAAATTGCTGAAGCCAATTTGAACATTAGAAGTAGTCCTGAAAAATCATGTCTCTATATTCAGGAAAATATATTTTCACTGTAGTGATACACCAATCTCAACCTTTGACTCCATATGTGTCAACTCTGTATTCAACACTCTCATTCTATTCAAATCTACAGATATCTTAAGATGTAGCTCTTGTTTTGTTTCCTCCCTCACCCCCAATAGGGTGCTGCTGTGTGCATCCTAGGCTGGCCTGACTTCCCATCCTCCTTAGTATTGGAGTAACAGACATATGCCACTCCATATGTAGTTCTGGGACTCCAAACCAGGGCTTCCTGCCTACTAGTAATAATAAGTACTCTATCAACAGGGTCTCCCTCTGTAGCCTACTGGGCTTCAGAATCTTAAACCCCCAAGACACTGACCACGCAAATCAGATATTATAAAATGCTCCTCCTAAGGAATCTAAAAAAGCTAAAGTCTGTAGAGCTGAGACAGACAACCACCTTACGAAATTACCTGACAGAAACCTTGCTTTCGCAAACAGCAGCTTTATTTTTTTCAATAAAGGGGCAGCGTCTATATCCATTCCGCTTTGGTACCACTGACCTATGACGCTAACTAAATGCTACAGCTTAACATTTCTAACTAAATCTCTGAAACGCCCCACCCATGATCAGCTCCAGATCACCACAAACGTCTACAAACGCCCAGAAACCTTAACACTAAAACAACAAAAGCCTGTGCCGCGAACTGAACTAAGTAACAGTTAATTAGTCACGTCTCTTCACAAGCATCCCCAAATCATCTACCAAAACCTTTTGGGAAGTGTTTCTCAGAAGCAAAGGGGTATTTTAAAAAAAGAGAGAAAGAGAGAGGAAAAGAAAAGATGACGACCAGGAAGGCCCGAGGACTGGGGCACCCACCATTACCACATCTCCTAACGGCTAAAAACTGCCTCACGGCACCTCGGTTTTAAAAATCCCAAGCCCGACCGCGATAAGGGATCAGCAGCCCGTTTTCCAGGCAAAGATACCAGATTGACAAAGACCAAGTGTCCGGCAGGGCGACGGAGCAGGACCGCACCGCCGCTCTCTTCCTCGGCGCGGCGCGTCTGGCCAACCGACCCACCGCCTCCCCCACTTCCCCGCCCCCTCCGCCCCAACGGTCGCGAGCGCCGGGTCCTGACGCGACAGCAACACGACACGCCGCGCGGCCTGAGGAGCCCCGAGGCCGAATACTCAGCGCCCCGGGACCTCACAGCACTCGGCAAACCCCAGCCCGGCCCGGCCCGACCCCGCCGCGCGCCCTAACCGGTGAGCAGGATGTTCGGAAGCTTCATAGTCCGCCTTCACACGCAGCCAGCGCCTCGGCTCACGCGCCCGCCCGACGCGCTCTCCAGGGAGGAGCCGGAAAGGGCGGGCGGTCGCGTGCGCCCGCGGCTAGGTTCCCTCGAGGCTGTCCGCGGGGCTCGCACGCACTTAGGATCCCCTTAGCACGCACCAATGACTCCGCGCCCTCGGGCGCTACGCTCCCATCGAATGGTGGGATGCCGGGTCCCAAGTCCCACCTGCGTTTCGGGTCAGGCAGTACGCTGGACGCCTACGTCACTCCCTCGCTTGCCGGCCCCGCCCCTTTGGCTGCGTCGCGGACGCGCCACCAGTCAGGAAGGTCCCCAGGAGGCGGGGCCTCCTAGACGCCTGCGGCTGAGCTGGGAGGGCTGGGCGCCTACCCTTCCACATTACAGCCTGGGCTCCTTCACTTCTTTCCGCCCGCGAGGGGACGCAGCTCCCAAAAAGTAAGGACTCCGCTGCTTCCGCTTTACTTATTAATGTCTTAGAGGCGTGAGGCCAACTTCGTCTTCACGCCTACCTGGGCTGTCCTCCCGACCCGCTCTCCAATATGGACTGGTGTAGGATGTACGTTAGGAGCCCTGGCCTGGAGCCATGGTGCGTGATGTCAGCTCTGCTCACTGTAGATTGCAGAAACACCTAGGACTGATGTGTGAGCTTTGTGTCCCTGTCCCCTGTGCAGAGTGTGAGGTGGAGGTGGATCGGCTAGGAGTAGTCTTGAAGTTCTCGTTTATCTCCAGCTTATTTCACGAGCCTGGTATTATCTGAGACAATTGTCTGTTTATCGAAAGAGATGATTGTCAATCTTGTTGTTCGAAGAGCCCTGACCATTAAGCATCTTTTATTTCGACAAGTATAATTGCTTAAGTAGACGTTTTTGTGTCCTTTTGAAACGTCAGGCCCTAATCCTAAATTATAGAGGGGAAGAGAATTTGTTTTATTAGGTGGGAAAGTTTTCAGGGTATGGGTTTGTGTGTGCCTACAACTCTAAAATAGACCCGTGTGCCATCCAGTATATACGTTTATCCAAAGTGACTGATGAGTGTGACTTCATTTTGGTTTTTCTTTTTTCTTTCTTTTCTTTTTTTTTCGAGACAGGGTTTCTCTGTGTAGCCCTGGCTGTCCTGGAACTCACTTTGTAGACCAGGCTGGCCTCGAACTCAGTAATCCGCCTGCCTCTGCCTCCCAAGTGCTGGGATTAAAGGCGTGTGCCACCACTGCCTGGCTTTCTTTTTTCTTAAATTGTAAATCCACTGTACTTTGCAGCATGATATGAAATAAGAATTTCAGCATAAAAAATGCTCATGTGGGATTAGTTTTTCTTTATAACAAAAGGTAAGTGCACAAATATGTGGTTTTTCTGTTTCATTCATCATTGAGTTTATATGAAAAGCCTTTTATGTTACACCACCCGCCACAAATAGATTATCTGATAAAACTGTAATCATTTACAATTTATCTTAGAGTCTTAATATTTTTGAGCCTCTATTTCATGGTTGATTATGTATTTTGATATCGATTACTATTAACCCTGTATTTACAGTTTTTTCTAATTTGAGTTTTTTTTTTCTTTTTCCCAAGGTGAATTATACTTCAACATACTCTAAATTGTATGCTACTGATGGGAACTGTCAAAGTTTATAATGTCAGAAACTTTCCTTAGACCAAAGGTGTCTTCTACGAAGGTATGATGTATAAAATGGCCATGCAGTAATTGCCTAAAGAGAATGAGAAAAGTTTGTTCTCAGTGCCTTATGCCTATTAAAGTACTGATGGTCCAATGTGTGTTGTAATTAGTGATCTGCAGTCTGGTAAGCTGCAAAACAACTATAACCATAATGATGAAAAGTCTCCTTTTCTTTTCTTTCTTTCTTTCTTTCTTTCTTTTTTTTTTTTTTTGATTTTTGGGGTTGTTTGTTTGTTTTGTTTGTTTTTCGAGACAGGGTTTCTCTGTGTAGCCCTGGCTGTCCTGGAACTCACTCTGTAGACCAGGCTGGCCTTGAACTCAGAAATCCTCCTGCCTCTGCCTCCCAAGTGCTGGGATTAAAGGCGTGTGCCACCACTGCCCGGCAAAAAATTACATCTTTAGTTGGTGTGTAGGGACATGCCTGTAATTCTGGCATTTAAGGGGTGGAAGCAGGAGGCAGAAGCAAGGCTAACTTAGAAGATGTGACCCACTGTTTCATAAAAGAATAAAGTCCTCTATTTTACCTAGGAAAGGCTAGTTAATAAAAAAGAATTAAGTTTCTGTTCTTATTTTATGGCATCCATCATTACCATGACTCAATATGCAGTTATGCAAAATTTAACTCTTATTCTAAACAGAAACTTAACTAGTAACTCTCAGAAACAGTTTTATTTGAAGAACTGATTTATTGCCTGCACTTGAGAGGTAGAGACAGAAGGTTCTCAAGTTTTAGGCCAGCATAGATAACACAGCAAGACTGTCTTAAAAAGGAAAGGAAAACTCAAAATGCTGAGTGTGGTAGCATCGTGCCTGTAATTCTAGTACTTGGGAGGCTAAGACAGGAGCAGCTGCATTTAAGGTTATCTTTGGCTACACAGTGCCTTCCAGGTCAGCTTAAGCATGACCCCATTTCAAAAATCATTGAGTGTTGCAGGCATATTCTAAAGTAGTTCAGTTGCAGAGGGAATAGATGTAAAAACTGTAGTAACTAAAGTTTCATTTCTTCTCAGGTATCAAACTGGGTGGATCCAGCATTTGATGACTTTTCAGCGAACACTGCCATCACCACCATCACTGCTTCATCTTTAAGTTTGAATAACTCCAGTCACAGAAGAAAATATTTGCCCTCCACATTAGAAAGTAATAGATTGTCCACTAGAAAAAGAGGAAGGCTGTCTTTAGAACAGACTTATGGTCTAGAAACTTCGAAAGAACATCTGTCTGACAATGAACCATGGGTGGATAAATATAAGCCAGAAACTCAGGTACCCACTGAATACCATACAAACATGTCTGTGATTTTTTAGGATGGATGAGCATGGATAACAAAGAAGAGTTTTATTGTTAAGAATTTTTTTAGCTTAGTGGGTAGCCCACAAATTTAATCCCATCACTCAGGAGGCTGGTCAACCTAGTGAGTTTACTACCAGGATTATTTACATAGCAAGTTCCAGGAAAGCCAGGGCTGTATAGAGAGACCCAGTCACAAAATTAGTAAGTAAGTAAAATGTAGTAGAGAAGAAAAACACTGGTTTGTACTTTTTTTTTTAACGTTTAAAGGTTGTGATACGACTGAGTTATTCTGCAGTTGTAGCATCTTTTCTCTGTCTTTAACCCTAGACTAGAATTTACAAATGCAGTACCCTTTTCTGTTTCTTCCCCAAAATATATTGCTGGATTTTTTAGACTTTCATGATAAACAGAAGTATAAAAAATTGCCATGCAGTGTAGCAACATAAGAATAGGGTTTTTCCATAATAGTATGAAAATTAAGGGGCTGGGGAGATGCCTCAGCACCTAAGAGCACTGGCTGCTTTTCTAGAGGACCAGAGGTACATGATGGAAGAAAAGAACAGACTTCTACAAGTTGTTGGCAACCCCCTCAAAACAAATTAATAAGCATAAAATATAATAAAATATAAAATATAAATAAGCATAAAAAGCTTATTAAATAAGCATAAATAAAAATTTAAGTATGCCAGATGGTGGTGGTGCACGCCTTTAATCCCAGCACTTAGGAGGCAGAGACTGGTGGATTTCTGAGTTCGAGGCCAGCCTGGTCTACAGAGTCTACAGAGTGAGTTCCAGGACAGCCCGGGCTACACAGAGAAACCAAAAAAAAATAGTCAAAAGGCTCTATTATAGCACATTACTATTTTGTAAACTTTTAAAAAAAGATTCATTCATTCATTCATTTATTTATGAGTCCACTGTAGCTGTCTTCACACACACCAGAAGAGGGCATCAGGATTCTATTATAGACCATGTGGTTGTTGGGAATTGAACTGAGGACCTCTGAAAGAACAGTCAGTGCTCTTAACCACTGAGCTATTTCTCCAACCCTTGCAAACATTTTTTAACTTACTCATTTTTTATGTATGAAAGAGCAACAAGTGCTCTTAACTGTTGAGCTATCTCTTCAACCTGTTTTTCACTAAAATGTTCATATTAAAAGCTGCTGACAGGCTACAAATGTTTTGAAACGTTTTTAACCTCAAGTTTTTATCTTAGCATGAACTTGCTGTGCATAAAAAGAAAATTGAAGAGGTTGAAACCTGGTTAAAAGCTCAAGTCTTAGAAGTGAAGCCGAAACAGGTAAGCAATGTATTTACAATAGTTAGCATCATTAGTTCTCTGACTTAAAAGATGTTAATCTCATTTAAAGTTTTACTGTGTAACCCTGGCTGGCCAGGATAGCCTCAAACTAACAGGAGATCTACCTGCTTCTGTCTTCAGAATGCTGGGGTTAAACATATGCTCATTATATAGCCCCAGGCGTCCTTGGAACTGATTGTGTGCCCTAGGGTGATCTTCAGTTTATGATGTACCTTCTGTCTCATCCAATTTCTGGGATTATAAACATGAACCACCATGCCTGGGAAGAAGTTAATCTTATGATCACTTTATTTATACATCTTCATATTACCTTCAATAAAAGCTTCTTGATGTTTTATTTCCAACCTCTCTAAAAGCCTCCTAGAGGAGCTAGGAGATGGGTCAGAGAGTTGGACAACTGGAGTTCAATCCTTGGGTACCACACGTTAGAAGGTCAGAACGAGTTCCTACAGTTGTCCTTTGACATCATCTTGTGCCACACTCATGCCTCCCCACAGTGAATAACTAAATGAATGTATTTGTTTGCTTTGTTTTAAAAAACTCCAAAACTTAAAATTTTCCCCCTTATTTGTCCCCCTTTTCCTCTTACATCCCAAACTCAGCCTAAGGCATATGGTAAGCCAATGGAGTGCTAGTGTTTTTAGCACATCTCCTTATTTCACAGTAAAGCAAGCAATCAATTTACATAGTAGTGGTTTTTAAAAAAAACTATATCTGGAAATAGTCCTCATTAATGTTAACTTGATGTTTTGTTTCACTTC